CACGACGGTACGAACTTTTGTGCTGTTTTTTTGTGCGGTCATATGCATTGTCTCTCGACTCTCGCCTTTTTGTTATTGTCCAATTTTTGGAGCTTGGCTGACGGTTCTTCTACGCCTGATACATACCGCCACAGTTTGTATAACGTTTGAGTTGTAAAAACTAAACGCTAAAGTTTGTTTTTGATGACAGGGCAGGCCGGCGCCAGTTTGCATGTCTGTCATGTTATTGTAGCAAAGTTAATTAAGTTAATGTTGCTGCAAAGAAATTAGAACACGCAAGTACTGCAAGCGAACAAGAACTTAGCTACGAAGTGGAACAGTGGCTCAAAGTCCGGTAAAAAGTAATATATTATACAAGACGAAAACCCTTGACCCACCAACTCAACAAAACTATGTGACTTTGCCCTATATTAAGAGTGTAACAGAACAGCTAACCAGGACCCTACGACCATACGATATTGCGGTAGCTTCAAAACCACTACAAACATTATAACAAACATTCACTTTGCCGAAACACAATGTTGAACTCTCCAAACAGACTGATGTATACCGTGTGGAGACTGTAACTGGTCATACATAGGAGAAACAGGGAGGGCATTCAAAACAAGGATGAAATAACATGTGAGGAATGTAAAGACTTATGCAAACTGTTCGAACATAGCATCACATTCATGGAAAAACGGACACAAAATTGATTTTGAAAAATGGGAAATTATTGACAAGGGAAACTATAGAATATTACGAAAAACTCTGGAATCATGGCAAACGGAAACAAGCTAACAAAGAAATGCTGCCTCCGCAAATTACTGTATACTTTTATCTTAATGTCCGTAATTAAAATTCTTAATCTATCATGTAACTGAACATAAGTTAGTATATAAGCTCGCTATTTTCATTAGTCATGCATGTACCTGTAGAAGACCAGGTCAGACTTCAGAGAACGACTCCATTTATTATATTTATAGTTGATTAATCTAAGTTATAAGTTTAACGTATCACTTTTCATTGAGCTGTATGCAAAATAATACATACTGCCAGGCCCGCCGAGAGGGGGCAGGGGGGGGGGGCAACTTGCCCTGGGCCCCCAACCTTACAGGGGCCCCAAACTTCAGGGAGTGCCTATAAAATTAAGCAGCCCCTATAAAATGTTTAGATTAATGTATGGCTTAACTTCGAAGATGAGAAAATCTTCAGTGTTTATAAGAGGCCCCTTTCCAGTTAGCTTCACATGAGTTTTTGCTCACTGTAAAATTTTCTCATTTCTTGAGCCTCGATGGACGAGGGGCTCCAAAAACAAAGTATATATGACCCGTTTTGTCAATGATTTTTTATTGATATGTGTAATATGTAACAGTTAAATACCGAGAAAGAGGGCTTTATGCTATACAGGGTGTATAAAAAAAACCAAACAGATTTGAAATTGCTCTCAATTTCGCAAAACACCTATTTGTATCCGGTTTTTTATATATGTATGTAGCTTCTTTGGGTACTTATATGTAGAATAATGAAACAAATTTCTCGAATTCAAATTTTGTGAACCAGGGGTGTGTGTTTTTTCCACCAAACTAAAAATGGCTCGCACACAAAATTTAAAAGATGTAATCATATTTTGAGTTAATAGATGGAAAATTTGTTGGGTTTTTAATTACTGTACAAACTTTCAGACAATTTGGTTTAGTTTAAGCCCTATAAAAATTATTAACTATTCATTTTGTTCTAAAAAATCAGCTTTTCGCATGCTTAATTAATGCCTTTACCTAATTTGCATATTGCTGACATATGCAAATTAGGCAAATGCATTAATTAAGCATGCAAATAGCTGATTTTTAGGAAAAATGTAACTTTGCGTGAATAGTTAAGGGGCTTAAACTAAACTGTCTGAAATTTTGTACAGTAATTAAAATCCCGACAAATGCTCCATCTATTACCTCAAAATATGATTGCAGCTTTTAAATTTTGTGCGCGAGCCATTTTTAGTTTGTTGGAAAAGACACCCCGCCCCCTGGTTCACAACATTTGAGTTCGAGAATTTTTTTTCATTATTTTACATTATAAGTACCCAAAGAAGCTATATATATATATAAAACCAGATACAAATGGGTGTTTTGCGAAATTGAGAGCAATTTCAAATCTGTTCAGTTTTTTTTTATACACCCTGTATAAAGAGCCCCGAGAACGCGAAGCGTTCGAGGGCTTTATATCCGCATAAAATCCGACATTCGAGGTATTTAACTGACTTATTTCACGATTGAAGAGGTTTTCTAACAAAGTTTTATTCTTTTTTTTTTCCGATTTCGACAAGTATTTTTCTAGTTTTCTCCCTCATTTCTTGACTAATTAGGGCTTTATGGTATTCAAGGGCTTTATGGTATTCAAGGGCTTTATGGTATTCAAGGGCTTTATGTTATTCAAGGGCTTTATGGTATATAAAGCCCGCGGTATGTCAAAGAAAACCGAGTCAATCATGAAATAATGCATGTGAATATTACTGCATGCAGCTAAACTTTATGTATAAAATGATACACCATGAAATAACATTAAGACATTAACATGATCATTGATTGTGGGGATTCGTGATTTATAGCTCAGAAATGTGGTATAAGTTCAAGGGTTATCCTCTTTTAGGTCAAACTAAAGCTTATAATTCAATGCTCAAATCGCAGGAAATGATATATCTGGGGTTTTAATTTTCAAAATTTTCTAGGGAAAACACCCTCACACTCGCCCCTGAGGGGTTCTCGCCTTCGGCGCTTGATTCGTTATCAACAATAAGAAATTTGAATGTCCAACACCCCTAAAAACACTCGACATTCGGCTGGATCCAACTCTGAATCAAAATCCAATAGAGACTTAAAGTTCTAAGTATTTTTTACACTGCTTAAAATCAAGGTTTATTCATTAAAGTTTTTCTCAATGCTTTAGAGTATACTGTATGCCTTTTTAAATATTTTTTACTGCTTGGAAAAAATGACATCATAGGGCCCCCAGAGAAAATTTTGCCCCGGGCTCCGCGAATTCTCTTGGCGGCCCTGCATACTGTAAATGAGGCATGGTAGAACTTCTTTCCATAAATTAAATAACGAAGTAGCTATAAGAGTTAGATTCCAATCTGATGTAGTCATGTACTGTACTGTAGTATACGTATTTCAATATTACAACTACAGGTACATGATTGTATATCAAAACAAACACTATTACATGTCTATGAAGCATGAGGAAGACTGAAGCCTGGCACACATTTTAGCAACAACGAGAATCTTCAGTGAAGAATACCAACATGACTTTGACAACATTACCATTTGTAATTGTTTATTACCTCCGACAGGAGGTTATGTAATCATCTGGGTTTTTACCTCCGACAGGAGGTTATGTAATCATCTGGGTTTGTGTGTGTATGTGTGCGTGTGTGTGTGTATGTGTGTGTGTGTGTGTGTTTGTCTGTGAGCACGATAACTCAAGAAATACCAAATATATCCGTACGAAATTTTGTGAGTGCATTTCCCATCGGCTAAGGAAGAACTGATTAAAATTTGGTTGAATTTGGTTAAAAATTGAATGAGAAATAACAAAAGTTTGTCTTGCTTTTCCCGGTCAATTAAATCAAACTTTATACTGAATGCGTAATTAGGACGTGCATAATATATGCACCAGCCATTCAAATTCTAATAACAATAGATTACTTCAATATTTTGCGCGTAGGCGGAGGTATTCTAAATGTGATTCGTTTTAGTTCCATGCAACTCATTTTCGGAATGAATATTTTTTCTTTGCCACTCCGATTTACTAACGCGGAACTGTAATCTCGCGATAAACTACGAGTATGCAAATATGTAGTTCGTTTTTCCGATAATGTTCCGATGATTGCGTCCAAGCGGACGCAGTTATTAACTGCAGGCAGGACGCGGGCGCTCTGGAGGCACGTGGGATGGCGCAAATCAAGGATTTGGATACTTGGGTGTCCGTGAACAAGTAAAATATAAACATAACATATGTTCTCAATCACTATACATAAAAAATTCAATAAAACTTGATTTTACAGTACTTACATTAACCAAGTCTTGACTATTGGAAATAATTGCCAGAATGTGAGCTTCACTCTTTGCGCTTTTTGGATACGAAAAACTCCCCTTAAGCGCGCTCCTCTGCATTTTGGTCAGTCCAATCACAAGTAGTAATCTGCAAGATATCTGCAAGATAAAAAATATTTAAAAACCAAGGGTTTAGAAACACTACCCTTGCAAGCGATCACAAAATGACGACTACTTTATAAATTATAGCAAATATGAAATCTTAGCAACCTATAGATAAGGCATACGCAATGATTTTGATGTACATGGATAACAGATCTTAGGCGATGATTAAAATGACAAGCTATAGTACAGTACAATGCAAATTTTCCCTAAATCTAAATAGGGTATAAATTAACTTTTTAAAGTAGCTGTAATACAAAAACTGACAGATACAACTGCACCAAACTTACAGCTGTTAAAGAATAAATGTTTAGAATAATTTTACTAAAAAAATCGTTTATTGGGAATAATGGGAGCTTAGCCTTAGCTGCTGTTTTTCATCCCTTTTAATATAATAATCAGTTGCTAATTAACATTATGAAACAATATAAAGCTTCCTTAACTGGTTGAGATTTAGTGATACACATATAAAATCTCAGCAATTTATGAAGGAGATATACTGTATACGCAATCATCTTAGTAATACAGATCAAAGATATATCTCATAAGGTATTAGCAAAGTTAAATCAATGACATGTAGCAAAACTTAAATTTACCCTTATAAGTCTAAATACGGTATGACCTTAGGCATTATACATTAGCTGTAATTCAAAAACTTATGGATAAAACTACACAAAACGTTCTGCTGTTAGAGGATAATATGTTCAGAATGATTTTAACTATAGCTAATAAATTGCTTATTTCAGTAATGGAACCTAGCTGCTATTCTCATTGCTTTAAATTAAGCCACCTTAACAGGTTATAGACAACATTTTGTTTTGGGAAGTGGCCCGATTGGACTTGGAGCTACAGGTGAAATAGCGATCATCTACATGGAGGAATTTCAAATCCAGGCAATAAAATCTTCACCATATCCTTTGGGCCAATGGTACTGGTATGTATAGATGACAGTGAAATAAAATGCCGCAGTGATGACTCGGAAAAGATTCTGCAACATTTGAATGCTATGGAAGAGAACATAATCGTATTTACAAAGCAAGAACAAAAGGAAGAAAGCTCACCGGTGCTGGATTTGAAACAGAATGTAAACAGAGAAACGGGAGAGATAGAGTGTACAGTACACTACAAGAAAACGCACACCAACATAAACGTGAAAGAGAAATCGAACCATCCACACTACATGAAGAAAGGCATCATCAGAAAGAGCTCGAGCATTATGTGATGAAAAACATTTGGATGATGAACTTCAAAATATCGAGGATGTGTTTGTACAGTAGCAAATGGATATGATAGAACCAAGGTGAGACGGTACATGCACGAAAAGAAAAAGAGTGAAAGGGAGGAAGTGAAAGAATATAGAGGAGTAGTCAGCATTCCATATCTGAAAGGGTTGTCAGAAAAGTTTAAGAGCATAACAGAGAATCATGGAATTCGAACAACATTTAGACCAGGAAGAAAGTTAAAAGAGTTGAAAGTACGAGTTCAACATCCATTAGGAAACAAACAAAAGGCGGTTGTCTATAAGATACCATGCGGTTGTGAAAGAGCAGTGTTACATAGGAGAGACATATCGACAATTTGAAACAAGGAAGAAAGAACATGAGAGCAAAGTACGATTAACAAAACAGGACATAAAGAATGGAGAGTTAGAATCAGCAGAACAAAGGATGGGGAAGGAAGACGGTGGCTTGGCAAGACACAGTGTTAAGTGTAAAGGAGAGATTGAGTGGGAAAAAGCTGAAATTATTGCGATGGAGAAGGGATTGAGGCAAAGAAAAGCAAGGGAAGGAATTGAGTCATTGAGAGAACAACAAAGTGGCAGAGAGACGTTGAACAATTTTGAACAATTAACAGAGAGGCAAACTGTTTTAAACAGTTATTTCAAACAAGATATTACTAAGATGTGCACGACATCACGCGCGCGCAAAGATCACATAGGTTAAGGAGACAGTTTGTGCACGTCATTGTTTAAAATTAAAAGTTGTAGTTGGCCTGATGACGAGCAGTCAAACTGCTCGAAACGTAGCAAATTAAATAAAATATTAACCTTCAGAATCGGAATTCTTGAATTTAGTTTACAAAATAAATGTTTAAAATGTGGAAGGTTTATAAAAGACTGAAGAATCTATCAAACACACATTTTGGCATACATGGAGCATACATAAAGTAACTGGTGTGCACAAATATGGGCTAAACTGATCATTAAATTGGATATATGTATTTAGCACTTTTGCTCACTTTTCTGCTCCATTAAATACTGTACATACTGGAATCGAGGCTTTTGGTATGAGGTTGGACTTTTTCGGGTATTATTATGATTTCAAATCTTTTATCACATGTGAATTTAATAAATTGCAGTAAATCCAATAATTTGCTATATGCACGAATTTGGCATAATTTGAGTTATAAATTTATATGAAATATGGAAATATTCTACAAGCCACTTTCTGTATAGTATTGGTACTAGTTCCAGGTTTCTGTCATCAATTTTCCCTCTTGCTATCAATAGAGTTTTGGCAACTGAAAAATAACTAGATCATGCTGGGATCAAACTTTCATCTGTCTGTCGACTGGTAATTTTTGTGCCGAAAATAAGTACCCAACTTCAGTATTTACTCTGACAACACTAGATGATTTGACTGTCAGTGGTAGGTTAATTTAAATGCCAAGTATATGGGTTAATATCAATAATATATAGTTACATGCAGTGTCTCTTAATGGTGGTTTACACTATCAAAGTTTCTGTGATCAAAGTAGGACTTTTGCATTGGGTAAATTCTAAGTTTTAAAGGATTTGTTTAGGAATGTTTAAGGGAGCCGGGAGCTCACTTGGTGATTAACACTAAGTTACTTTCCATGAACATTTTTGTTTGAAATCCTTTAAAACTTAGAATTTACCCAATGCAAAAGTCCTACTTTGATCACATCAGGTCAATCCTAAACCCGCCATTCCCATAATAATATACTGTAGTTATAATTAGGGTCTGGTTTAGTGCTAGGTAAAATTTGTAAAAGTGTTTTAAATTGTTATTAAAATATCATTAATAAGTCATAAACTTTGTGACCAGGGCTCTCACAATCAAATTTAAGAATTCCTTAGATTTGCCTAAAAAATTCTCAAAATTTCCTCAGATTTCCGTAAAATTCCCTAGACAAACATAACATAGTAACATGAAGTATTTCCTTAACAATACGTAATTCACGTGGAAAATACACTTCAAAAATTAATAATTTATACAAAAAATATTAAGAATAATGATGTGTTTAATGTTTTAAACATGAGCGGTTTCAATCTCACGTTTTTCGGAGAAAACGAAGACGCGGAAGAAGAGTCCGGATCAGAGTCAGCAGACGAAGGACCGCCTGAAAAGAGTCAAAAGACAGCAAAAAAGGTATATGCACAGCAATTCAGACATCAGTGGTTAGAGGATCCAGAATTTAAGGATTGGTTGGTACGCCCGCGTCCTGGGGAAAATGCTTGCTCCTGCAAATTGTGCAACAAGTCAGTATCGTGTCGGAAGACTGCTCTTCGACGACACACTCAATCTGCACAACACAAAAGGGCACTTTCAGAGATAGCGGCTGGACAAAGACAAGGCAACCTTGTTGAATGCCTACAACGTCAAAACGAAATCACCACCTATAAAGAAACAACAGAGGCTCGAATGTGCTCCTTCCTTGCACAGCATAAGTTCAAATGTGCACAAAACCAGGCAAAAACAATTGAAACATAAGTTCCATGCAGGGGCGGATCTAGGGGTCGTCAAATCAGTCGCGCGACTGAAGTAAAAATTGCCTACTTAAAAAAAATTGACTCCAGCTATCTATAGTGGCCAGTAGATCGAGTTACTAAAATTTTGAATCGTACTGGTAGTCCAGTTATACGTTTCATGCTGCGGCAGAGCTTCGGCAAAGTAATGTTAGTCAGTCACGAACAGCGGTCTTACGCATGAAAGTTGACGGATTCGGGGGTTGAATCTGGCTATCTGATTGGCTGACACGCTCATTTCCATGGTTACGACCATTTGCGACGGATCTGTGGGGAGGCCTGACGGATTTGCAGATTCAGGGGCTCTGTATGAGCCTTCTGATTGAACCATTTAAAAAAATTCTGCACTGTCATTGGCTTATATTTTCGACGGATTCGCAGCGTGAGGTATTCGTCAACACGGCATTAGTGTTTTAATTACCTCTGAGTGTTTACTATTTCGAACGTTCACTATTAAGTATTACGAGCGATTTCTACCAGCGATATCTGGAAACATTTTCGACAATGTTCAGTTTGTGATTGCGGCAAACGATTTGATCTCTATGCAACGTTTGTATACGGAGCTTGAAAAGAATATCGATGCCTCACGGACGAATTTTGTTGACAAGCTACTGAGCGGCGCCATCAACAACACAAACAGAAGCCTCGCTAGAAATTTTGGCGCAGAGAGCTACTGCTAGAGAAAGACAAAGCTTGCACTGCAATAAGGTAGATAAATTTATAGTTTTATAGTGATGTATCTTTAGTTCATATTAAAGGTTTATAAACCGGAGTACCAAGCCATCGGTGTTGTTAATGATTGTCTGACAAGACTGACATATGATATTTTAATATATTCGCTATGCTGTATTGCTGTATTAGCTTAATTCTCGCGTCAAGAAGCTAAAATATGTTAATATTCAATGTCTACAATGTAAGCATTTGTTGATTCTCATGTTAGTGAAGTTTTATTTAAAATTTCCTTATATTTATGCATTAATCACACAACATGTACGCCTTAACAGTATTGTTTATCCATATAGCCTATCGACATGGCTTGTTAGCTAGACCGCATTGGTCTGGTCACTCTGGCCACTCTGGCCACTCTGGCCGGTGTAATATGATGATGTGAAATATTTAATTAGGTAGCTTGAAAAGCTCATTGACTGGTAGCCATTCTGATGTTACTAGTTTATTAATAGTATATTTTGTGTTCAATATATAGACCACAGTAAGATTTTATTAATAGTAAGAGTTTAGTTTATTAATATTTGACTTAACATCTTTGCCTTAGTTGTATATGTGGTTGTTTTCTTAGAGCTCAGGCTACTGGCAATTACTTGTATAGTTCTGTGTTTTTGGTAACATAACAGTATATTTCCTTAATGCATTTGCTGCCATATGAATTTAGAATATACACTTATAAGTATATAGTACCAATATGACGATTCATTAATCCACAGGCAAACATGTTAGATTGCTGCTGAGTTTTAAAGTATAGTATAATTGTAAAATAATAATCTATAAAATTTTGTATTGAAATAGGATCAATATATCTTTGTGCATTTGTAGTTTTTCTTACAGTGGATAAGAATCAAATGTTCGTTTGAGTTTATCAATTTAATATAAATATGTTTTATAATTTGGTTAATTAGGATTTAGGCTAATAGGTGGGGAGGGGGGACCAAATCGCATTTTACGTACGGAAAATTCTAAAAATCCAGTGGTGGACTATCAGCATAAAAACTTTTTAGCGCCCACTCCCCCCCCCTCCTGGAGTCGACCACGACCAGCGCCAATAACACCCCGTCCGCCAAAACAATTTTGACTGAGGTACGAAAAATCCTAGATCCGCCCCTGGGTCAAAGGTTTTACATGCTGTATATTGCGATAATTTGCTAGCATGACCTTTATCAGTATTTATATGCATATGCATCGTGGGATATTGTCAGTGTGTCGCTAGTTTTTTACTTATGCATGCATGGAGTGCAGATTATGCATTGAAACCTCGCGTCTGAAAATTTCTTTTTAATTAATAAATATTATAAACTAATGAAGTGATAAAACTTGTATACCGCTTGCTATTCTTCTTTTATCATACCATCACTTCGCTCACAAGATTTATCAAATGGAATAAATTATATTTGGTGTTAAACATCTTAGTACTGAAATATTAAAGGTGATGTCCACTCCGTTCTGCGCATCAGTTCTGCTCATAACAAAGGGGGACCCCCACATATAAACATTGCCTAAAATTTGCATCCTTCGAACATTTTGAATTGAAACGTACAGTTTATGTTCATTTTACAAGTGTAGCGAACCAGAAAAGTGTTAGATATTCAGTTAGTTTTTTCATATTTTTCAAATATAGCAGTTCAAAACGTAAACAAAGTTCGCGCATGTGCACAGGAGTGGACATCATCTTTAAAGTGTGCAGTATGCATAAAATTAAAAATGTCTTAAGATTACAATTCAAAGACAAAACTTATATGCCCTATGAACCCAGAGTGTCGGTTTGCTTGCTTAATAGGCGTGGCCTCGCCAAGGTCCTCACTTACACTACCAATGGTCTGGAAATGGATAACGTTAATCATACCCCCAACTGTAATGCAATTTAATATGATACTACTGCTGGTCGTACAAGGCTCATCGTCGTCAAGGAATCGGTTGTTTGATAGCCGCTGGGTTGGCTTAACCTATGTTAAATCTCTTCTTCCAACAGCTCGTTTATAAACTCGGAAATATCTCGTCTGATCTACTTGAATAAAATAATAACTCAAATACTTGAGTAAATAATGCAGTCACAGTGTCTGAAATTTATGAGTAAACTTACTCATTTTTTAATACTGCATGTAAGGGACCGTTCATTATTTATACCAGGGGTTGGTACCGAAGAGATATGGGTTGGGTAATCAAGTTTTTGACTAGCTCATAGGTTGGGTAAAAAAATTATGGCTGTCTGTTAGCTATAAAATAAAATAAAACCAAAATTACCATGCATTGGAAAATATGAAGAAAATGAGGAAGGACTATCATTGATCAGCAGGAATGTGATTTAACCCTGGCCTTATTTTCTAAAGCCGTGTTTACACTACGAGCCTTGGCTTGGCCTGGGACAACTTCTATAAATAAACTTCTACACAGCAAAAAATTTTGGATCAAACTTGACTAAAATAATGCCCTCTGCATTGATATTCTCATAATAACAATATTAATAATAAAATGTCATGCACTGTGATTATTTATACCTTGAAGTACGATGTTCTATCAAGCTTAATCAGATTTTTTACAACGAGCTGCACTTGCATGTTTATATCTCAAACTCATTAATAATTCATGAGCAAATTAGCGAATGAACTCACCCTAATTCGTCACATGATTGAGGTTGGATACCGCAAGGAAACACGCTAAAAATCATATACCATCACTGTTGTTAGATGAAAATCGGTTTTCATCTAATAACTGAGATCCTAATTACAAATTCAAGTCAAAACACAACAATATACTATAATAATATATATAAGCCAATGAAATGTTTTCGTTTGAGATGTTGTGTAAACAACTCGTTTCTCGTGTTTCATCAGGGGACCAAACACTCAAAAACAATAAAACACTCGCGCTTCGCGCTCGTGTTTCATACAGTTTTCTCGTGTTTGGATCCCCTGATGAAACACTCAAACTCGTTGTTTACATATAACATGAAGATTGATTTGTATGCACCTAAAAATTTAATAATTTAAATACAGTTAATTCATTTGTTTCAAGTTTCAACGGGTAAAATACTTCGACCAAAACACATCGTTATTTGTTATCAAACGTTCATCTTACCTTGAAAAATATTTCGATAAACAGCCAGACATAAAATTTGCGACAAGCTGTCAAGCCAGCCACAAAATATACAGCAGGGGCTGGTTGTACGAAGGTCGGATAGTGCTATCCACCGGATAGTGATTTTTTCAACCTTTGTAAAAATGCTTGAAAAACTGTGAAACTACGGATATAGACGACACAAGAAGTATAAAAAAAAACATTTAACTTATAAATAGTAAACTTTAATACGAGCTATACCAATCAACGACTGATTTAACAAAGCTTGAAAAAATCGCTATCCGGTGGATAGCGCTATCCGACTTTCGTAAAACCGGCCATGGTCCATGGTCCATGGTGGTGTGTTCGTGAGGTGCAACCACGGTATTCGGAAAGTCAAATCGCGATCTGGAGTATGTTATTTTTAAAAATTTCTGTGACGTCAAAATACGTCATAAATCTGATCATCCAAACATTCGTACATACATGCAAATAAAATCGAGTTGTCGTTCGGCTAACATATCTCGGCCGAAGAGACTGGGCACACGTAAACGCAGTACTTCATCTTAAGAATATTGTGCTGCATTCGGCAGCAAATATTTAAATCTTGTCATAATTTCATTAGCCAAATGTTAAACAGGTGCTGTGGTTAAATTTCCTGTGAAGTTGCATGCAGAGCACGTCGTGTAGTGGTTCTTGACGTGTGGCCAAAGGTTTACCATGCTGTATATTGCGATAATTTGCTAGTATGACCTTTATCAGTATTAATGCACGTGCACCGTGGGATATTGTCAGTGTGTCGCTAGTTATTTGACTTATGCATGGCGTGCACTTTATGCATTGAAACCTCACGTCTGAAAATATTATTTTAATAAGTATTATGAACTAATGAAGTGATAAAACTTGTATACCGCTTGCTATTCTTCTTTTATCATACCATCACTTCGCTCACAAGATTTATCAAATGGAATAAATTATTTTTGGTGTTAAACGTCTTAGTAAATATTAAAGTGTGCAGTATGCATAAAATTAAAAATGAAAGATTACAATTCAAAGACAAAATTTATATGCCCTATGAACCCAGAGTGTCGGTTTGCTTGCTTAATGGGCGTGGCCTCGCCAAGGTCCTCACACTACTGAATGGTCTGGAAATGGATAATGTTAATCATACCCCAACTGTAATGCAATATGACACTACTGCTGGTCGTACAAGGCTCATCGTCGTCAAGGAATCGGTTGTTTGATAGCCGCTGGGTTGGCTTAACCTATGTTAAATCTCTTCTTCCAACAGCTCGTTTATAAACTCGGAAATATCTCTTCTGATCTACTTGAGTAAAATAATAACTCAAATACTTGAGTAAATAATGCAGTCACAGTGTCTGAAATTTATTAGTAAACTTACTCAAATTTTTAAACTGCATGTAAAGTAAATTTCTCAAAACATTGATTTTACTCAATATTTTCAGTCATACAGTAGGGCATTGTTTTAGTCAAGTTTGATCCAAAATTTTTTGCAGTGTAGAAATTTATTTATAGAAGTTGTCCCATGCCAAGCCAAGGCTCGTAGTGTAAACACGGCTTTAGAAAATAAGGCCAGGGTCAAACGTCGAACTTTTCATTTGCCGAACCTAATGCAAATGAAGTGAAACAAAGAACTTAGCTCATTAACATTAGGTTCCGCGGCACATAAAAAGTTCGACATTTGACCCTGCATGGCCTAAGATTCCATGATCATAGTCTTGTCTTACTCCATTACTCCATGCAATTGCATTCATGTCCCGGTCCTGTTGACCACACCCTCCATCATACTTTAAACATGCATTTTAAACATGTATTAACCTTTTCATTAACCTATATGACTGTAAAGTAAATAAATAAATATTTAAATAGACGTGGGGTTAAAACGTGTATCACGGCGAGTGTGGCAGACTCGCACTCGGAGTGTCGACGTGGTATCCCGCCAGCGTCAACGTTGTTTGTTAAAGGTTCTATATTTGCTACACGCCACACACTTGGAAAAGGTGACGATTACGTACGAATATGATGATTACAAGGTTTATTTAGAACCCGTGCGCAGGGGCGTGGTATGTGGGGGGGGCTTGGGTATTAAAAAATAAGATGATATTCCTCATCGACGGATACTATAATTTCTATCAGATCGCCCAGGTTTTAATCAAGAAACCACATCTATAACAACGCGTCTTCATACAACGAATGAAATCACTGACGTAACCCAAAAACCAATCAAACGCTCTCGTCGAATACAGCAACACAAATGACAGTGCGAACATTATCGAAGATTCGAAGAACGGCCGAGTTGAAAGCTTAATGAAAATCGTTTTTAGTCTGGTGAAATTTAACAAAATGATGTATAATTATATATACAGCTGTTTCAAAAAAAGTTGTGCTTCAAAAATCTCAAGGTGTGATGGGTAACCTCTTACTTAAGGCCTAAAACGTGCGAATTTTGCATTGTAACTATGGCAAGACAGATAATAGGCACTTAGGATGTACAACTGGCAGTGTACTAGGGTTATTTGCCCAGTGATCAAAAGCCCTAAAAAAGTTGCCCATGACTCATTGCGCGCTTAGAGTTTCATAATAAGGTTTGAGATTTTCAAAGGACAAGCTTTTTTTTTAATTAGCTGTGTA